CTGCTATACCGTCGTCATGCAATCAAAAGCTCCCTAAAGCACACTTTTAATTCAGTGAAACTGTTCTAAATTCTTATAGTGACAATGTGTCATTTTCTCATCACCAACTTTGCATTTAGGCCAAATAAAATTAATTGCTAGTTCCACGTTCCCGCCCTCATCAAATTTTGGAGACTCATGACCAAATTTACTCTTTGCTATTTATTGAAAAACATTCATTTTTCCATGGGCAATAAAAATAATGCCTAAGAAGAATTGAGAACATAAATGGCAGAAATACATTACTAAGATTCATTTTACTTTTTAATTTTCTTTTTTTATATTTCTGCTATTTACCAGTCTGTTTACGGATAGTAAAAAGCAAATAGTAAATACACTCACCAAAAAATAATTTCAAATCCTGGACATGAAACTAACAATTATTGTTATTTGGTCTTAATGATATATAGTAGAATCAAAACAAAAATTTATTTAAAAGTAGACATTAAAATATACTTTGAACTCTGAACATTCTCAGTCGGCAAAAACCAACACAATTCCTAAATTAATCCTACATTTCTTCTAATAGTAATGTGAGTTTTTTTAAATTCCATTTTCCTGAAAATAAATTAGAAATTATTAAGGGTAATATCTAATTATTTTAAAATTTTGTTGTGTAATTTGCAAATTTTTCAGTTTATTGTTTACTTATTTCACCAAAAAACCATTTTAACTATTTGTTTCTATTGTGATTATGATTATACTGACTATAGCAGAATTAATTTTGATCGTGATGATCAAATACACATTTGCAATTGTAATTCTGTCGCTGTACATTTCTATTTTTGTTGAGTGATAGTCAATTTATTGTCACAATTTTATCATAGGAATTTCAGAGAGTGATTTCAGACAGCTGTTGTTGGATTTTTCAAGATGGTATGATGGACTTGGATACATCAATATGCTGAAAGTTCTCTACACAGATCATGTGCCAAATTATATTGAGTTAAGTAAGGCTACTGAAGTGACGTCCTTGCTGCAAAATTTAACTGGTTCAGGGAATTTGAGTCGAACAAACCTCACAATCCTGTACGACACAATAAAAGTAACTGAACAATTCGGCTTCAAATCCAAAATTGCACTTCCACTTTTACAAAGGCTCAAGGAACATGAAGTGTCTAGATTCACACGATTCAGACAATTCCTGTTTAAGCTAGGGATGAAACTGACTAGAGACGATATACGAATGCTTGACGTACAACATAATGAGATGCCTCTGTTGAAGAATTATAAAGACAGCTGGCATTTAATACTGGATCTAGAGCATAGGAAGAAGCTTTGTGAAGAAAAGATTGACAGTTTCATTGAAGGATTACCAAGTTACTTGGCTGTGAAAGCTTTATGGGAAGGTAAACTGCTATAGTTTGTTAAAGAAGAAGTTTAACTATTTTAAATAATTTTAGAACTGATTTTAGCACTCAGTTACATAATATCCCATTTCAGAACAAGAGAATGGCCGTATTTGATTGGTCGTTCTTTGTTAAACCATGCCCACCTGCGCAGTGGTAAAATCCTACTTAATAACGAAGATGACCAGTCAATTAGAAACAAAATGGCTGAATAGTTACCGCGATACAAGCTGCGTAATCAAGATTGCTTTGGCTTATGGCAGTATTTTTCGTAAAAGAAATGTTTTCATCCAGTTTTTGAATTCTGTTAGTTCTGTTACAATTATTTTTTGACTTCAATGTGAGTAAATATTGTAATTTTTATTTTCTGAAATTTAACCTAAATTATATTAATGCAAATGTTGTTTCTAAAATGACCAATTGGCCATGTTTGTTTTGGTCACATGGATAACTTAACACAGATTAACGCACTCTGGTTACGTTAATTTTCGTTGTCAAAGAAGTCTGTTTTACGAACCAGTCGAATGAAAATAATACTCAACGAAAATTCGTAGTCAATGAAGTGAACCAGTCAGATACGCCCAATGATCATGAGAAACATACATTTATTCATCCTTTTAGACAGATTCAATAACTTATTGAGACCTGTCTCCATTTGTGACATCATAATGAAAAGTAGCCACACCAACGTAACAAATGTACACAAGCACGTCATTGCTCTTCAAATGGGCTTTGCTTGGTACTGGTTGAAATCCACTGCTAGATCTTATCAAAATACAAATCATAGAAAAAGTTTTCATATTCTTTGTATTTTGCATTTCACTGTTCCCTGGTATTTTGGTAAGTGAAGATGGCCTTGTGAAAACTAATATGGTGATGCAAGATTTTTTGCTTTAAAATAAAGCTGTAATTATTTATAATAATATTTGATTAATGATATTAACAGTATTCTCTACACCCTTCAATTTTTAGTCCTGAAATTACTTAACATGTATCTACTATTTAAACTATTGATTTTATGTACTCAATAAACTTGACATTACTATATTTCATACTATTGTTTTGCTCAGTAGTGTCAAATAGCTAAATGACTATACAATTCTAATGTGAGCATAAATGTATAATATGAAAATAAATACTTCTCAAATTCAAAAATATCTCTTTATAAGTAATAGCAGAATTATATTGTTGTTTGATTCTCTATTCCAGACATAATCATCAAAGATTCCCTGATAAAAACTCAACAACAAATATATAGGGATTTAAAAAGAATGACACCATCAATCTGGCATAAAAATCATGCTGTAGATATTGCAGAAATATTTACTGAACTCATCTTACATCAGTCAACAAGAAAAGGCAATAGAGAACCAAAAGACAAAGAAAAAGAAGAAAAAAACAAAGAAGAAAAAGATGAAGAGTATACAGGTGAAGAGCATACTGATGAAGAAGAACAAATAGAACAAGAACAAGTCAAGTCGACATGTATAATGAAGGCAGGTAAACCTGCATCATTAACAGAGGTATTAGGTCTTATTAAATCAACAGATGCGTGTAAGGTATTAATAACAGGGAAGGGAGGAATGGGCAAGACTACTCTCCTTAAATATATTGCTTATCAGTGGGCTACTGATGATGAACATGTCTTTGCTGATAAATTACTATTTCTGATGAATATCAGGGAAATTAAAGCATGTGTAAAGTTCTTGGACATGATTGTGAAAAAAATGGATTCAAATGGAATAATTAAAAAGAATGATTTGAATGATAATTCGGTTGAAAATTTCCTGGTCAAACATGACAATGAAATAGTAATTTTGTTAGATGGATATGATGAGTTAAAAAGGGATGTTAAAGACCCATTAGATCTATTTAAAGGAAGTGAATTGCAAAAAAGCACTGTGGTGATAACATCTCGACCTAACAACACAACTGATTTGGTTAAATGCTGTGATGTACACATTGAAGTAAAGGGATTCAGTCCAGGAAACATAAAGAAATACATTCACAAGCATTTTGAATCAATTGGTGCAACCGAAGTTGGTGAATTGCTAATAAAAGAGTTCTTGCTTGATTCAGAGTATACAGTATGTTGGGGTGGTTATCACAAAGAAGCATTTCAATTGTGTTCATCTCCACTGTTATTGCTTCATATTTGTACCATATGGAAACAAAAAATTCTTCTTCCCACATACTTGACAGATCTCTTCAAGGAAATCATTTGTTGTACTTTAAATCAATACCCTAACAGGCCTAGCAATAAACCTGCAATTACTAAGTTTGACAGACTTCCAGATCAGTATATATCTGCCATTTTAGCTTTAGGAAAATGTATGTATGAAGGACTAAAGAAAAATGAACTATCTATTGACAAATATGTTTTGTCAGAGATGGCATGTAGTGAAAAACTAGTAAATTTAGCACTAAATTTTGGATTTGTTTATGAAGATACCCCTGTTGATCCAGGTGATACAAGGGAGATGTACACACCCCCACACAAGTTAATGTCAGAGGCACTAGCAGGGTTTTACTTGGCTAATCAAATTCAGGAAGATCATTTGAAAGCAGAGGAGTATGATGTGATAAGATCTAATGAATACCTACATATGACAAGAGTGTTCACAGTAGGATTTCTTGGTGAAAAAGCTGGTAAATTGCTAAAACTTTGGTTCATAAAGAGGGCCTCAAATTTGTGCTCAATAGCACAATGTTTCAGACATGTGAAAGATGAACATGAACACCATGTACTGCAGGAACTGGATAACAACAGTGAAATGAAAGCATGCTGTGAGCAAATATGTCAGTCATTCAGAAGAATTCTTAATAGAGACAATGACATCAAAAATATGCATCTATTCAAACTTATGTGTTACATTGAATATAAGAATAGGAATTATGAAACACGTCATGAAATCGTAGCGCTTGAAAAGGCAGCAATCTATATGATAGATACATCTAGTGAAGAGTCTTTAAGAATTTCATCCAGGGATTTTGTACACAGCTCAGTTGTAGCACAAGGAGCTTGGCCAACAAAACATTTTTTTGAATATATTTCAAATTGGGGAGAAAAAAGAATCAAAATTCTTTCAGCTGCAATGAAAAATATAGATATGACATATAACAAAAGGGTAATGGACTTCAGGTTTAACCTTAAAGTTAGTTCTTTTTTTGTAATTCATTTCTTAGAACATGCAAGAAACCTATCTTACATAACAGGTTGTCAAGCTTCTGTACTCAGTGAAGTTATGAATGAGTTACACAAAACTCACACTAAGTTGAAATTAACCGAACTTACTATTAACCATCTACAGAATACTGATGGCGGTTTACTAGAAAAACTGTTTGAAGTGGCTCCTAAACTGCAATATTTAAAGGTAGCCAGTGGTAAACTATCAGGCAGCATTATTAAAAGGATTAAATATTGTCATAGGAGGTATGTAGTATTTAGCAGACGTCTATTGAGGCAAAAGTTAAACCTTTCATATATTGATAGTGAATCACTTGCAACATTTATATGGGTAGTTAGTCAGAGCATATATCAGAGTTATAAACATGATGATGTTTTTGATTATCCCGATTATAATTTTTATGATAATGATTTCTGTGATGATGATTATTATTCTGATGATCACCATCCATATGTTGTTTCTTTCATTTTTAGTAAATATTCTCTTACAGCTGATAACCTAACAAAGCTGGTTGAATCAGATGTAAATATGAGACTGAATTGGAAAAGGATAGATTTGAGTAAGATTAACCTGTCATCAGTCAGTGGTAGAACATTAGCTTGCCTTATTAAGATTTCCCCAGACATAAGCCATATTGACATGAGTTATTGCAGTTTATCAGGCATTATTGTTAATGAAATGATGGAGGAATGTGGTAGAATGAATATAGTATTGAAAGACAACATGCTTGAACTAAAGGGCAATGACCTTTCAGATATTGATGGTAAATCACTTGTAGAGTTAGTCAGAGTAATTCATTCTCCTTATGATAAGCGTTATGGTGCTATTGAACCTTTCAGATGGAGTGATTATTCTCTTTCAGCTGATAACCTACAAAGGCTGGTTGAATCAGGTGTAAATATGAGACTGAGACTGAATTGGAAAAGCATAGATTTGAGTAAGATTAACCTGTCATCAGTCAGTGGTAGAACATTAGCTTGCCTTATTAAGATTTCCCCATACATGAGCCATATTGACATGAGTTATTGCAGTTTATCATTCATTATTGTTATTGAAATGATGGAGGAATGTGTTAGGATGAATATAGTATTGAAAGACAACATGCTTGAACTAAAGGGCACTGACCTTTCAGATATTGATGGTAAATCACTTGTAGAGTTAGTCAGAGTAATTCATTCTCCTTATGATAAGCATTATGGTGCTATTGAACCTTTCAGATGGAGTGATTATTCTCTTTCAGCTGATAACCTACAAAGGCTGGTTGAATCAGGTGTAAATATGAGACTGAGACTGAATTGGAAAAGCATAGATTTGAGTAAGATTAACCTATCTTCAGTCAGTGGTAGAACATTAGCTTGTCTTATTAAGATTTCCCCAGACATGAGCCATATTGACACAAGTTATTGCAGTTTATCAGGCATTATTGTTAATGAAATGATGGAGGAATGTGGTAGGATGAATATAGTATTGAAAGACAACATGCTTGAACTAAAGGGCAATGACCTTTCAGATATTGATGGTAAATTACTTGTAGAGTTAGTCAGGGTAATTCATCCTCCTTATGATAAGCATTATGGTGCTATTGAAATTTTCAGATGGAGTGATTATTCTCTTTCAGCTGATAACCTACAAAGGCTGGTTGAATCAGGTGTATATATGAGACTGAATTGGGAAAGCATAGATTTGAGTAAGATTAACCTATCTTCAGTCAGAGGTAGAACATTAGCTTGCCTTATTAAGATTTCCCCAGACATGAGCCATATTGACACAAGTTATTGCAGTTTATCAGGCATTATTGTTAATGAAATGATGGAGGAATGTGGTAGGATGAATATAGTATTGAAAGACAACATGTTTGAACTAAAGGGCAATGACCTTTCAGATATTGATGGTAAATCAATTGTAGAGTTAGTCAGAGTAATTCATCCTCCTTATACTTATGATAAGCATTATGTTTTTATTGAACCTTTCAAATGGAGGGATTATTCTCTTTCAGCTGATAACCTACAAAGGCTGGTTGAATCAGGTGTAAATATGAGACTGAGACTGAATTGGAAAAGCATAGATTTGAGTAAGATTAACCTATCTTCAGTCAGTGGTAGAACATTAGCTTGCCTTTTTAAGATTTTTCAAGACCTGAGCAATATTGACATGAGTTATTGCAGTTTATCAGGCAGCATTGTTAATGAAATGATGGAGGAATGTGGTAGGATGAATATAGTATTGGAAGACAACATGCTTGAACTAAAGGGCAATGACCTTTCAGATATTGATGGTAAATCAATTGTAGAGTTAGTCAGAGTAATTCATCCTCCTTATACTTATGATAAGCATTGTGTTTTTATTGAACCTTTCAAATGGTGGGATTATTCTCTTTCAGCTGATAACCTACAAAGGCTGGTTGAATCAGGTGTAAATATGAGACTGAATTGGAAAAGGATAGATTTGAGTAAGATTAACCTGTCATCAGTCAGTGGTAGAACATTAGCTTGCCTTATTAAGATTTCCCCAGACATAAGCCATATTGACATGAGTTATTGCAGTTTATCAGGCATTATTGTTAATGAAATGATGGAGGAATGTGGTAGGATGAATATAGTATTGGAAGACAACATGCTTGAACTAAAGGGCAATGACCTTTCAGATATTGATGGTAAATCAATTGTAGAGTTAGTCAGAGTAATTCATCCTCCTTATACTTATGATAAGCATCGTGGTGCTGTTGAACCTTTCAGATGGAGTGATTATTCTCTTTCAGCTGATAACCTACAAAGGCTGGTTGAATCAGATATGAGACTGAATAGAAAATGGATAGATTTGAGTAAGATTAACCTATCTTCAGTCAGTGGTAGAACATTAGCTTGCCTTATTAAGATTTCCCCAGACATGAGCCATATTGACATGAGTTATTGCAGTTTATCAGTCAGTATTGTTAATGAAATGATGGAGGAATGTGGTAGGATGAATATAGTATTGAAAGACAACATGCTTGAACTAAAGGGCAATGACCTTTCAGATATCGATGGTAAATCACTTGTAGAGTTAGTCAGAGTAATTCATCCTCCTCATGAGGAGCTTTATGGTGCTACTAAACCTTTCAGATGGAGTGATTATTTTCTTTCAGCTGATAACCTACAAAGGCTGGTTGAATCAGGTGTAAATATGAGACTGAATGGAAAATGCATAGATTTGAGTAAGATTAACCTATCTTCAGTCAGTGGTAGAACATTAGCTTGCCTTATTAAGATTTCCCCAGACACGAGCCATATTGACATGAGTTTTTGCAGTTTATCAGGCATTATTGTTAATGAAATGATGGAGGAATGTGGTAGGATGAATATAGTATTGAAAGACAACATGCTTGAACTAAAGGGCAATGACCTTTCAGATATCGATGGTAAATCACTTGTAGAGTTAGTCAGAGTAATTCATCCTCCTTATGATAAGCATTATGGTGCTATTGAACCTTTCAGATGGAGGGATTATTCTCTTTCAGCTGATAACCTAAAAAGACTGGTTGAATCAGGTGTAAATATGAGACTGAATGGAAAATGGATAGATTTGAGTACGATTAACCTATCTTCAGTCAGTGGTAGAGCATTAGCTTGCCTTATTAAGATTTCCCCAGACATGAGGTATATTGACATGAGTTATTGCAGTTTATCAGGCAGTATTGTTAATGAAATGATGGAGGAATGTGGTAGGATGAATATAGTATTGAAAGACAACATGCTTGGACTAAAGGGCAATGACCTTTCAGATATCGATGGTAAATCACTTGTAGAGTTGGTCAGGGTAGTCACACCTTATGATGGTACTTTCACTTGGAGTGATTATGCTCTTTCAGCTGATAACCTACAAAGGCTGGTTGAATCAGGTGTAAATATGAGACTGAATGGAAAATGGATAGATTTGAGTAAGATTAACCTATCTTCAGTCAGTGGTAGAACATTAGCTTGCCTTTTTAAGATTTTCCCAAACCTGAGCGTTTTTGACATGAGTTATTGCAGTTTATCCAGCAGTATTGTTACTGAAATGATGGAGGAATGTGGTAGGATGAATGTAGTATTGAAAAACAACATGCTTGAACTAGAGGGCAATGACCTTTCATGTATTGATGGTAAATCACTTGCAGAGTTGGTCAGGGTAGTCACACCTTATGGTGGTACTTTCACTTGGAGTGATTATGCTCTTTCAGCTGATAACCTACAAAGGCTGGTTGAATCAGGTGTAAATATGAGACTGCATTGGAAAAGGATAGATTTGAGTAAGATTAACCTATCTTCAGTCAGTGGTAGAACATTAGCTTTCCTTTTTAAGATTTCTCCAGACCTGAGCCATATTGACATGAGTTATTGCAGTTTATCAGACATTATTGTTAATGAAATGATTGAGGAATGTGGTAGGATGAATATAGTATTGGAAGACAACATGCTTGGACTAAAGGGCAATGACCTTTCATGTATTGATGGTAAATCACTTGCAGAGTTAATCGGGGTAATTATTCAGCCTTATGATGATGATGATGATGATGATAAAACTTTTCAGATGGAGTGATTATTCTCTTTATTGTTAATGAAATAATAGAAGAATTTGGTAGGATGAATATAGTATTGGAAGACAACATGCTTGAACTAAAGGGCAATGACCTTTCAGATATTGATGGTAAATCACTTGTAGAGTTAGTCAGAGTAATTCATCCTCCTTATGATAAGCATTATAGTGCTATTGAACCTTTCAGATGGAGTGATTATTCTCTTTCAGCTGATAACCTACAAAGGCTGGTTGAATCAGGTGTAAATATGAGACTGCTGAATTGGAAAAGCATAGATTTTAGTACGATTAACCTGTCATCAGTCAGTGGTAGAACATTACCTTGTCTTATTAAGATTTCCCCAGACACGAGCCATATTGACATGAGTTATTGCAGTTTATCAGGCATTATTGTTAATGAAATGATGGAGGAATGTGGTAGGATGAATATAGTATTGGAAGACAACATGCTTGCTTTGGAGGGTAATGACCTCTCAGCAAGACAATTTCTCCTGCCACAACAGCTGCAGCAGCTCCAAGCACAGATACTGGCTTAACAATATTTAGCTCGGAATCAGCCGATATCAGATCCCTTGATGATAGCTGTGCAGGGTAAACATGGAAAGTTTTAAAAGACGATCCAGTTTTGTTGTATGGCGGCATGCTCTTGCTACACAAGTCTTAAACTAATTCTTTATTCTGATTGGATGTTATTGTATGCCTGTATTTGATTTAGGGCAGTAACATCCACTCAGAATTAAGATTTGGTTTAATACTATTTTGATTTTAATTCTCATTGCTTTTTCCATGTTTGTCCTCATGTTTATTGGTCTACTGTAGGTTATAGTAGGTACAGGGGCAGTCCAGAGGCGGAAGGTTGTTCAGTGCGAAACGAATTCCTCAAACTTTGACTGTAATATCTCAATCATTAAACACTCTTTTTTGTTTCTAAAGAAAATGTGCCAAAAATATGAAAGCAACATGAATTAATTCACATATGACATTGTTATATATATTAAGAATCAACAACTGTCGCAAGTGTGAGCATGCTAGGCCAAGAAAGTCAAAGATGCTAGGCCAAGAAAGTCAAAGATGCTAGGCCAAGAAAGTCAAAGATGCTAGGCCAAGAAAGTCAAAGAGTGTGACGATAACACCTCTGCTGGTATAGTGGGCCTCGAATAGCCTATGAATTTTCTGTTTACTACTCTGCAGTTTTGCATTTTATTTGAATGGATGGAGTAATTACTTTGCAAATAATCATTACAGTAACATAAATCATTATAGTTGCCTAAAAGTAATATAAAGAGTCAGTTGAATGGGTTGCATATATCCTGAAAAATATAGGGAAACACTGAATAAAATGGTTAAAGCTGGTCAAGTTTGAATATAAACTATAAATATAAGTTTTTATTAATAGAAATTTGTCCTGGCCTATATTTTTGTTAACTAGTAATATAAAGACAGTCAAATGGATTGCATATATCCTGAAAAATATAGGGAAACTGAATAACTATGAATATAAATTCTATAAATAATATGTAGAGATTGATTTTCACTTCGTAATAGTCTGTGTCCAAGCCTGTAGATATATTTTGATATACTATTTTATGATGATTTACTGTGGAACATTTTCAGGTCAGCAATTGTATACCTGCTGATAAAACTTTCACTAGAGTTCCTAAATAGAGTTCTATATACGAATTTTCACTACTATTACTAAACCATACTGTATATTTTGTCTGTCCCTTATATGATTTTAATAGCTAGAAGCAGTTAGATATTGAAATATATTTGTGAACTACAGCCATACATAATTTAGTGTTAAACCAATACATTTTTAGTGGTATTTTAGAATTTGAAAAGACTACAATTCAATTAAAGAAATCCCTGGCATGTGTCATTTATTTGCATTTACTGTGTTTTGTAATTTAAAATTGTGTGTATATCTACAGTACCTTGTTGATGGGGGAGCAACATTCAACATTTTGCCTCATCTAGAACAGTTGGAAGCAATAGACTGATAGAAGCTGAGGCATTGGGTGTGATAGATGCATGTATATATTTTGATTGCATGTGTTACGTATAGTAATAGAGTGTGTGTGTAATTAGTACCACAATAAATATTGTACCTGTGAAACTAGGTGAGGGGTGGGGTATGCTAGTAACAACACTACAGATCTGATCTGTGGTGTTGTTACTATGTTCCCCCATGCATCCCGATACGATAATATTTTGATTTTGCTTTAAGAGTACAGAGAGCATTTTCCATCAGGAAGTCTTCCCCGATAAACTGTATGAACAATGTAACAATTTGAAAGGCTTTCAAATTAATTACAGACAGTAAAATTACATGCAATTTTATAATCTTTAAAGCAAAGCTTTCATTTTTGTGCCAGGTCATAAAAATAATTTACTGATGAAAATAGTTGACAGGCCTATGATGAAAATTCTATCTCTGGCCTAAATTATTTTTCAATTTTAAAAATTGATTAAGCAATATAAAAATAAATAAAAATAAATTTTTATACCTCCTTGCAATTATCAAGCTTTTCAAATCCTTTACACTGTTGGCGTTTTCACAGATTTTTACCTTTAACTATACTGAATAATGCTGGCTGCGCTTGTGGTTAAGCTGTCAGCATATCCAGAAGAAGACATGCATTTTAAGATATTTAACCATACAATATTTGTAATTCATCAAATTTTGGCCTAACCAATATTTACAAAGGTCGAGATTGTTGTATCTTTACAATAAAACGTTTTTTATTATATATTTTAGTATAATTATATTGTTACTAGCTGACAAATGTTATTCCAAATCATTACAAATGAATCAGTAAGTTCAAATTTTTTTTTCATCTATTATTATACTCATCTCCTTTCATTCCTTGAAATTCACCATATTCAAACAGAAACAGTTTTAAAAATAAATATATTTAAAAGGTGACCATAAATTTCATAATAAAGAAACTGATGAAGTAAACCATAGATTTCAATCAGTTTGGCCAAAACATCATCCCACAGACCAATTGTGTGTCAAGTGACAAATATTGTACAAATGTTGTATCAGTCATGATGTGCCTTGTTACAACTGCTAATGTAGAAAACAACAGCAAATGTAGCAACAACCGTTACCTTCCTTAGTTCTTATTAAAGTTTTACGTTTCATTAAAGCTGAATTGGATTATCATTTCTTTTCAATATATATACTGTCTCTTATACACATCTAGATGTGTATAAGAGACAGGTTCTATTATTGAATGATAATTGTTATTATCTTGAAGCTGTGACAAGAATAGATAAATAAGTAGCAGTACTTTAACAAAAGTATAACGTGATCATCCAATCAAAAAACAGATAATAAGCAGTCAACCAAGCTCATGCGTCGTAATAAACAAAGAACATAAATAAAACAATACAATAGAACAATGGGGCAGGTACCTAAATAAAGTCAAAATGGACACACCTAGAGAGCCTAAACCAAGTATTACATGGCATAAGAAGTACTGAACAATGTAGTATAAAATCATACGAATAAAACAGGCATAGTAACCAATAATGCGAGTTACATCTAAAAAATATGCCCTCGGATAATAAGTATTAATACTTATTATCCGAGGGCATATGATTTTATACTACATTGTTTAGTACTTCTTTATAAGCAGATTTAATTAAATCCTCCAAGGCATTTCCATCCACCACCAGCCTACAGCTCTGTCCACACTATCAAATTTGATGTGAACAGTTTGTGAGATGTGCCCATGAGCATGATGATGTCATGTTATCACTTTATAGTGTGGACAGGGCTTTAACGCATTCCTGGAAGGCTACATGTACTCTCTCACTGATGAATGTGTACAAGTCTCCCTCAACTTAAAGACCACTTTTGGGACCAGGGTTTTCATGGTCTTTAACAGCTTTGGTTTCTACTTAGAATAATAAAAATAAAAGACATTTGTGAATTTGGGACCACAGAAAAATGGTCTTTAATTGGAGGGGTCTTTGATTAGAGGTAGACCTGTACTTAGAGATGTGGAATAAAGGTGTGTTCACATTGGATTCATTTAAAATCAAGATGAAGGCTAACTTTACCTTGGTCAAATCTTACTGCTGTTTGTACTTGGATTTAAGTATGCAGTAGGTTTTAATTTAGTAAGATTTTGCGCATGTGTAGTCGGTATGGAAAGCATACGTGGAAAGCATGGTGATGTGCGTGGTATGTAGTGGTGCATGGAAAAATAGCCTGTATATTTTTTGGCAACTGTGACAGTGACTCGGTTATTTGCGGCATATCTTGGATAATTAGACCAAGGAGAATGTTACGCAGGCTGTTCACACATAAGCAATTACTTACTCACCCTTGGTTAACTTTTCTTGTTTCTTCTATCCACTTCACAATGACAACTTCCTCTGGTTCAGAGTCCCAACAGGTCCACACGGTATCCTAAAGTCCTTCATCTCCCTCAGGCTTTGTCGGAACGCGGCCATCATATCGGGCTGAATATGCACCATCACTCCATCTTCCACTATGCTGGATTTGGCTATTAAGCCTGTGCTTGCCTTCAGTGCTCCATTGAAAACCACAAAGCTAGCTCCAGTAACTGTAACCAATGTTATATTTTTGAACAATAAACATTGGTTACAGTTACTGTAATCAATAAACATTGGTTACAATAACTGTAATCAATGTTTATTGTACAATGAAAGAAATGGATGTAATTCTATGGATTTTTTATTTATTTTTTAAGTTGAACACTGGCGAGAAGGTAATTGTGCAAATAAAAGATACATGTTTTGAGTCCCAGGTAAATCATCAGATCTCCTGCAAACAGGGGACAAGCATAAAATGCTTATAGGCCCTTCATTAATAAAAAAAATAAAATGAATGGTGCAAATTTGAATATGTGGTCAGACCATCTCTTTTCCATAGTTTACCTTGCCTCGGTTTGTTTTGGATGTTGATGGCTTGCGTTTGATAGTTTGCCATATCATTATGGATGCACACCAAGTGAGAGTCAGCTTCAGTGCTGAAGTTGGCCGCCACTGCCATCACATGCTCATTCGAATTACTGATCACTTTCATGATCTGCAGAAGAATTTGCAAAATGTAAATTTTTAAACACACTACATGCCGTGTGGTATAAATACAAGACTTGGACTTAAGCTGGGCACTCACTCCCTGGTTGTACGACTGTTACACGACGAATCCAACTCCGCTCCCCATGAGCGCTAGACGACGCGACGCTGTTTGCTTCAACGATGGCAGTCTAGATGGATTGTCATTAAAAAAGATATGTAGTGTGCGCGTATTCACGTTGCGTTCTTCATAGAATCGACCATCTTTACAGCATCACTCTCAGTCTCATGACAGACATTCAGCGCATTGTTCAAATGATTTAAACAAAATCAAAAAAAGATGTAAAGCGTGCACTGTTATGTAGATGTCATTGTAGAAATATTGTTTATTGTTTTTATTGTTTACACTCACCTCATCGTATTTACTGTTAGGAAAGTTTATCCTGGTTTCTTTTTTCTGCATATGAATCATAATCCCCGGAATTTGAGGTAACATGTATTGATAATTCTTAAAATCCTGAAATACCATAAGAAAAATTATATATTTCAATAATGAATAACACAAAAAATCACTTACTGCAATGCACCAGTCCGGTATTATTGAGAGCACTAGACTAGTATACAAATAATGAATGTTTATGAGTGCAATGGGGTAGAATATTTCATGAGGTGAAAGATTGGATGTTCTATTCAACGAGGCATAGCAGAGTTAAATAGAACATCCAATCTTTCAACGAATTGTACGAATAAGAAACATTCATTATTTGTTATTTTATGCAACACTTGCTGTCTCTCTCTGGATTGCCTGCATGCTCTTCTTCAACAAAGACCCATCTTCCTTTTAAAGGCCGGTATAAAACCGGCCTAGCCCTAGGAATCGATCATGTGTGTTTGTTAGACATGCGCATATTTCTGACCCTGTTCTGATTTATTAACACTCCAAAAAAGTCCATAGAATGATGCTGTGTGCCAATCTCAAATTTTTGACAATCGCCTAGTTTTGCCTGAGTTAGTTACAGTCCATAAGGCCTTATGTGGCACACGATGCGAAGCAAGATATAAGGCCGGGTAGGAACTGTTACTAGTGATGATCAGCTCCCCACTTGGTTATGGAGCATCTTGAGTCCTAAATGATCTGCCCTCCGGCCTCATAGCGAGACATGGTTAAAAAACATTGTCCCAAGTGAATATCTCTCTACCCGCGCACCAAGCCTCATAACAAGAGAAGGTTATAGGAATTCGGTAGTCCTAAATGATTACCTTTCCATTACCCAATCCTTATAAATACGGAATAAATAATATAAATTAGCCGGTATCAGCAAAGAACGTACTTTGAATGTTATGACTTTAGCTCTTCAACAAGGGGTATGAATGGGTATGTTATAAGATACACAATATGTATTTGCATTACTATGTTACTGTTTAAAATTATACATTAATAATGTGAAGATAATGTGGAGATTTACAGTGCAAACTGTATTTAAAGAGCTGACCAATATTATTACATGCAGAAACATGTTTGTATCAATTTTTTTTTAAAAATAAAACAGATGTCATTTTGCAACTTACTACGTAATATTGGCATTGATTTTTCAACTTTCGGGTTCTCTTCAACAACATACTCTGAAAACAACATGAATCAAATTAAAAAACTGCAATACCATTAAATTTTGTCATTAATACTGATAACAAAAACGATAACAATATTAATAAATATAACAAAAAGAGGTTGTAGAGGTATTTTAACGATCATTTAAGCAAACTATATCTCGACATTTTTAATATCATTATTGATATTAATCGCTCAATTTTAAAAAGTATTTATTTATCTGCAATTGTTGCTGCTTTTTGTTTATTCTTTGAGGCATGATGCCTTTTGCAGTCACTGTAATGTTCCTTTTTTATTGTTACTGTTTGCTATTACTTTTATTGTGTTTTTGCTGATATTGTTTGCCTTTGGTTATTATTGCTTATGTTTTGTATTTATTATTATTATTATTATTTCTTATTATTGCTTTTTTTGTTATCATTATTATTTTGTTGTTATTGTTATTATTTATATAGTAAAGCAACATTAATGATATTATTCTTTAATATTTCATTATATGTTACCATTTTGGGGATCAGTCAGAGAATCAATTTCAGTTTATTTGATCCTCTTCCTTTTGTTACATTCTCCCATATTTTGCTTACTATAATTACTTTTCTTTTCTTGTAATTTTTTTTTCCAAATTCTGTTTTACATAAAATGAATAATTGTTTTATGTTCAAAAGGAAAAATAAACTTTACTTTGATTTGATTTTTATGTCATCATGATCATATTTGCGTGTGTCGCATTTTTTTTGTCAATAAAATTTGATAGTCTGGACAAGGCTTTCTGCTCAAATTTTCTTTTACAAAAAACTGTTGTATGCCCATATATAGACATGATGTGCCTATATATGGTCATGATGTGCCCATATATAGTCATGATGTGCCCATATACAGTACTGACTAGAGGACTTTCTACATTCCTCGCGTGGATCGTGCGTGTGTTTCACGAGTAAAAAGCGTGGGCCATTATTCTGCGAGTGCTCAATTAACGCGTGAATGATTTTACTCGGCATACACTTCCTGGTAAAAATCGGAACTTGCGGTCCACGAACGGTCACGTGGGCGGGTAAAGTTGTTTATTCACAATCTCTTGCCATGCTCTTACTAAAGTTCCTTCACGACATATCCAAGCGTGCTGTTACGTAATCTGAATACACTCCTTTGTCTCTATTGTTATTAGTACGAAGAGTCTTTCAGGCGTGGTTGATTAATAGATTTTGAGTATAGAACAATAATTGCATGCAGTAGTTAATTTTAGAAAAAATAAAATCGTTTAAGTTTGTAATTCCCAAATAAAACAATCGTCTTATTATTATTTACGTAACCGTTGTCTGTTTTTATTAGACGTAGTAAGTCAACACATTCATCTTATAAATATTTCAAATACATCACTTTCCGGTATTCTAGATAGAAAGATATGGAAAATCCCTCGCACACATTTTCCCACACACATTCAACTTTTAAACATTCATTCGTCATAGGTCAACACTGTACGTATCCCACCACATCTAAAACACTCTTGCTTATTATTATTGTTATTAATAGCCGAAATAATATTCAGAATATATCGAAATGCGTTAACAAAATGTGATTGATGTAATTTATTAGATTAAAAAGGAATAACGTAACGTTGTCTTTGAATCTGAAATATGCTTGTTGTCACTATTTTTTATCTATAGTTATTAATAGTTGAAATGACAAGTGTTATTTACTATGATTTTTTTTGTTTTTCAGGTCACCGAGTACTACAATATTAAGATGTTATGAAAGCATACTAGAAACTAATACAAATGATAATGTATTTTTATACGTTGTTCGTAATCAAATTCGATCAAATTTTGCATTAAGCTAAAGCTTACTCATATTTACTTTTCATTAAACAACTATTATTCATTGAATTTCCGTGGATTTTTTTTTTTACATACAGACATTCAGTGGGAATTCCCAAAAACGTAAACAAGGGAGTTGCTGCAAACCATTGTCTACCCGGTGAAAATCTCACTGTCAACACACGTATTAATGATAGTCAAAACATAGTTATACCC